CTCCGTTCTGTCATCGCATGCCAAAACTAGAGGACTTAACGCTCCGGATTGTCTTCTCTGCGAAAAAGCGACAAAGCGGCCGCCTCCATGCAACATGCAGATGATCCTGGTTGCTGGCGGGTGAGTCCATCATACTCTCCCAGGGTCACACGATCACGCACGTTCGTTCTCGTTCGTTCGTTCGTTCGTTCGTTTGTTCGTTCGTTTGCTCGCTCGCTCGCTCGCTCGTTCGTTCGTTCGTTCGTTCGTTCGTTCGTTCGTTCGTTCGTTCGTTCGTTCGTTCGTTCGTTCGTTCGTGTTCTATTCCTTTATCTATTTATCTATCTATCTAACTATCTGTCCATCTTTCTATCTATCTATCTATCTTTTCTTCCCATCCTTCCCATCCCCCCTTTCTTTCTTTGTGCTTTCTCTGTGCTTTCATTCGCTCCTGCTGGCAAGATTACACACTAACAAATGATACATATCGACTCGATTAGACTCGAACAGATCGAGTTCTTCGATGAGTATACAGCTTGACAACGATGCTCATCGAATTCCAATGTTGTTAGATATATTGACGTGTAGGAATGACTAAAAGAAAAAAAAGAAGGAAGAAAAACTTAAAGATTTCTATTTCCTATCGTTCATTCGTACGAATAACATGCACGGTTACGCGTGGTTTTTCTTTTTTTCTTTTACTTTCACCGATGGATTTTTCATTCGTTTGTCAACGTGCAAAAGAGAAAAATAAAATGAGCAGGCAGCCAGACAGGCAAGCTCTTGCCTTAATAATCAATAGAAATTTTAATTTAACGAGCAAGAAGCGACTTGCGTTTTTCATACGAATCATTTCGCTTTATTGACGTACATACGACGAACGAAGGTTTTTTTTACTTTCGATTAGATTTGGATTTTCGCTTCGTACATACGTCCATAATAACAAAGAACTCTCTTCGTCTATCTAAAGGATCGTCAAAATTGTAATTACGATTATTACGCTAAATACAAGACAAATTTTAATAACATAATCTTTATCTTTACCAAAAGATTATATTTCATAGATCAGACAATTTTCTTCCTTTGACATTTGAGTCGATTTCGGATTCCCATCGGGAAAAAGAAAAAACTATACCAACGAGTTCTCTATATAATATTTCGATCGAAAAATATGTACGGTTTATAGGAACCGTTGAAATTCCACGGTTTTTTTTTTTTTTTTTTTTTTTTTTTACTTTCAATCGGTTAATATCACTTTTAACACTTTCATTTTGATCTTCGTGTTTCGTGTCGATTGAAACCTTTCGGCAAGTCAAGAAAAGGTGACCAAGGGGTAGAGGAGAGAGCAGCGGGGAGGAGGAGTGAGTTGATAAATGCAGAGTAAGACAAAAATAGAATGTGCTTTTTTTTTCCACGTTTTTCGATGTGAATTAGAACGGAAAATCGGCTTTCGCCAGGTCGGATTTGGAGTCGCGTGGGAAATCGTTTCTTCAAGGCGAATACGCTTGCGCTCTCGGTGAAATGGATTAAATTCGATCGCGAGAAGTCGCCAAGTCTTATGGGGGAAAGGGAAGGAACGCGGGATAAAGGGATATAAAGGGACAGGAGTATTCTGTTAAAACGGAAGTAGGAAAGGAGAACACGTGAATTTTCACGATCGTATTCGCGCGCCGTTGTCCATTGATAAATTCTTTGCTCAGTTACTTCCTATCTCTTTCTCTCTCTCTCTCTCTATCTCTTAACCCCATCTTTATCTATCTTTTTTCTTTGCTCTCTCTCTCTCTCTCTCTCTCTCTCTCTCTCTCTCTCATATCCTACTATAACCCACTCGCTCGTATACGTTACCCATTGTCTTTCTCCTTTGTTCGAGATATTCAAAGCTTTCGATGAAGCTTCTGAGATCAGATATAAGTGATATCTATTCTATATATATATATATATATATATATATATATATATATATATATATAGACGTATAGGGATACATAAGACATAAGTTAATGTAACTTACTATAGCCGATCCGCACTGTCACTTCTTTTATAGACTGTCTCCTTTTTCTTACTTCGTAGTGATTTTCGCGATAAACGAGAGACTCCTTTCTCTATCTCTTTGAAAAAAAGTGTTTGCGTAATGATTAACGTAACAGAAAATCTTTGTTTCTCATTCGTTATAATTAAAAACTTTTCAAAGATAATAAGTTTGATAAAGGATGTGATGGGATAGATATTATAGTTGGCTGAGAGTTTTGTCGAATTGTATTTGAAAATCGATTTGGATTTGAGATTCACTGATTCGTATGGCACTTTCTATAAATTATGCAAGGGACTATAAAAGGGACTCGAAAATCCATTAAATGGGAGAGAGAGAGAGAGAGAGAGAGAGAGAAAGAGAGAGAATATTTTCGAAGAATCCAATTGTTGATCGATCATCGTTGCATATAGTTTACTTGATCTATATAAACGACGTTTAACGGTTACGCAAAGTGGTAAACGTCGTTTAGGAATATGCATATTTAATGGGTTAGCTTTTGAGGTCCAAGCACAATTGGACCTCAGCATCGTGACGTTCTTAAGGAGAAAACGAGAGATAGATAAAGAGAAAGAGAGAGATAGAGAGAGAGAGAGAGCTTATTCGACAATGACACAGTATACATAGCCTCAGGTCTTTCGATGACAAGCGAAAAATCTTCACTTTCTTTTTTCTTCTCTCTGATTACATACATACAATCACGTGTGCATGAAAAGCTTGCCAGTTTAGTTTTGCTCGTCATTTCAAATGACCTACGAGATATATAACTATTGCCTGATATCGAACGTCTTCGTTGTGAATAATAAAATTTATATTAAAAAAACTTTTATATATATATATATGCAATACGAGTGTCTCAGATGAATTGAAATGAAAAATAATAGATTTTGTAGCACTGGAGATAGAACTAAACGTTCGATTATCAGAAGCGATGCTAATTCAGCTACTCGCTTCCTATTGCCGTTTCGATGCGTGCATGACGTCGATAAGTGTATCGCTCTGACGAACGGCCGCGTCAGCTGCGTCTCGCTACGATTCCTTCCTGTCCGTAACACAAACGTATGTATGTATGTATGTATGTATATATGTATGTATGTATTCTGCCGATTTTGCGAGATATCGCCGACTAAATGTGAATGTGATTATGTATTCGCTTTCTCTATATTTGCGTGTGTGTATGCGTGCGTGGGCACGTGTGTACGTGTATTACCATAAATGTAAGAGTTATTGGACATTTTGTTTTCTATCTTTACGAAGGGATTCAATCGTTCTTTAAGGACGTGGGATAATGGAAGACTTATCTGTTAGAATATAAGTAAGAATATAAGTATCATGAATGATTATGATTAATATGTTTATAATCGTCTTATATATATATACACACACACACAATATATATATATATATATATATATATATATATATATATATACTTATATGTACACACAACTAATACTTTTTTATCAACAATGCAATAGTCAATCTTTTTCTTTCTTTTTCTTTTTTGAATAATACTTGTTAAGCAAAGCGAAGTTGTTCAATCGATAAATATACTACCTGTATCTTTTTTGTTAAAAGTTAAAAAAAGAAAACAGGTGGAATATATATGTGTATAATACTTCAGACTTATGCTCTGTTTTCTGAAGATTCTTAAGATAGTATGGTGAAAGAGAGAGAAGTGAGAGAGAGAGAGAGAGAGTTGGGTCGATCGTTGGAAACGATCGACCAAACCGCGCGGTGACCGAGGTTGTTGTTCACTGCCAAGCATGTCCCAAGGGCTGAACAGAGTAACTCCCGCTTTAGACGTGCATTTTCCTGAGCCCCTGCAGGTCTATCTTGCGATAATCACTCGAAGAGAGTCATTAAAGTCACGTCACGCTGATTTTAAAGATGATTAGCTTCGTCGGAAAGTTCCTCCCGTTGCCCTTCCAAATTTCTTTTATAATAATTAAAGGGCGTGGTAGTATCAAGATTTGTTTCTATCCATGACATTTAACTGGGTCGCAAAATCAATTATTATTCGATATAATTATTCTGTCAAGAGGACCATAGAAAACTTACAAAAGGATTATTTTCCCGTATAAAGATTTTCCTTAATACTTAGTCCAAAAGAAGAATAGATAAAAGAAAATTGGAACGATTCTTTTTTCTTTTTCTTTTTTTCCTTCTTCTTTGCCTTTTTTTTTTTTTTCTTCCTTTCGATCGAACGAATTAAATCGATCAATCGTTCGGCATGGATTGTGGACAAATTAAATTTTTCTATTGTAATTAACAAGACAAAAAGGAACTGATTCATTTTTGCAAGAGAATATTATTATTTTTCATTTTTAATTGATGTTACATGAAAATACATAAATCATCGTTCCCTTTCAAAATGAATATAAAAGATTGAAAATAATTCAAAGATCGGATTAAATAATTAAACTTTCTTTACAATTGTTTCCAAGAGACAATTATAATTATTCCTTCAAGGGGTTTTGAAGACAAACAAATAAACTAAAAAAAAAAAAAAAAAGAGAAAAAAAAAAGAAAAGAAGAATCGATTAATCTTTTTTCTTCTCTTTTTTCTTTTTTTTTCTCTTCTTGTTTTCTTTTACTTCTCACTTGAGATAATATGTACTAATGAATCGTTAAAAATAATTCTGGATCGATATTCCAGCTGATCCATTTAGATAGAAATGACAAATTTCTTATTACTCTTAACGATAATAGTACGAGCACCGACAACTAGGCGTCTTAAATCTTCTTATACTGGCACCATCGTTGCCCGTAAAACCGTTAAAATTTCATTCTAGACGATATTTTCCTTCTCTTTCTCTCTCTCTCTCTCTCTCTCCCTCTCTCTCTCTCTATCTCTCTCTCTCTTTAGATAGGTCGCATCGAATGCGTATAAAACGATATTGACACTAGACGGTTGCAATTACGTTATTAACTACGCTAACCCATTTTAGCTTTATTGACTCGGTATGATCATGCAATCGCGACGTTTAGACCTATTACATACAAACCTGTATCATTTTTGATAACGCGATCGAGAAAATAATGTGAAGAACTTGATGATTCGTTCAGTATATTGAAAAATATTTTATTTTCTTGTTTTTTTTTTCCAACG